CATTGTATTCGTGAGTTTTTTGGTGTTATAAAATAGGGATAGCCATAATGTTATAAGTTATTGTTGTGTTTTGCTTTGATGTAGAAATGTCATTATGTAGTTTTTAACGGTCAGTATACAAACTATAGATTTTACTGCACTGGTCCCAGTTGTTTTCTATTCACCACTGGCTCACGGGCTCTTTTCAATAAAATATGTTAGTGTGTTAATTACTTAGCTTTCATGTGGCGTAGCTAAAGTGGTATAGCATCACCATTATTTTAACTAGATTAGTTAATAATTAATTTTATAAATTTTATAATTGTAATAATTAAATAATTTGAGAACGTCAAATATAAATGTGAAAATGTAAGCATTTAAAAGCCGTCGTTTTTATTGTTTGTTTTGAAATTATCGAATAAAATTTTCCATCTTGAGTAGTGTCCAAAGCTACGGTGTCAGCGTTCAAAGGGCGCCGACAAAGCGCCGCGCGTTGGCCCACATCTACCCCCCCTTTAGGGGTGACACTTGCGGGCTTTTTTCTTTCAAATTAATATCTCTTTGTGGAATCTCTCTAAGCACTTCATACCTTATTATTTGTACTTTGTAATAACTAATAAATTGTCTTGTATTCATTTGCTGTGAAATATAAAGTAAAAAAATTAATTTTAATACATAAAGCTGAAAATTGTACACAATTTTATCGAACTAAATGAATGTATTAGTAGCCTAGTTATAGCCTATTTAAAGTAATTTTTACATGACTAAAACATGTTATATCAGACCATATGATGCTACAATTAAAATTGATTGATTGCGATCTTAAGATAATTATTTATTTATGTATTGAAGTTGACCACATCATACATAATGTTATATTTATAGTACATGTTACAAGTTATATTTTCTAAAATATATCACAATTATGGTAAACATAAATGTTTAAAAAAATAAATAAGGACAATAAAAACATTACACTTCCAGTTTTAGATTTTACTTATAATTTAAAAGCAAAAAAATGAGATATGCTTATGCTCTCTAATATTGATCAGCCCACTACCGAAAATATGTATGTATTTTTTTTCTATTAAAGTCCTATAGATTCCATGTGTGATGGGCAACCCTACATCCACCCCCAGCTCAAAGTGAGTGTGTTACTCTTTAACCTGAGCGATTTGCGACCGGCTAAACTTACCACTCCGCTAAATAAAGTTAAAAGGCTCCTCGAGCTTTGTCTCGGCGCGCCTTTGATGTGCCGCCGTACCCCCTCCCCCCCAGTTCCCCCCTCAGCCCTCGCAAACAGTTCACCGCAGAAACTATTGGCTTTAATGCCTTACATACGATTGATTAGCAAGAGGTATTTCGTAGGAGCACCGATCAAAGTGCCCTCTTGTCCGTGAGGGTCTGAACGACCCTCTTAACTCTGGATTTACGATTGATTGTTACGATATTGTTATACAGATTAATGAACCAATTAAACGGTAAAAGTTTGGCGATATCGTTGGAGAAATGTACCATTTCTCGTTAGATATTGTATCAGCAACTTCTAATAGTGCCATCTCCTTTCGGAGGTTGGCGTTTAACATGGCTACTTTGATTTTGGATGCCGCCGCGCTTTAATGACTTGGTGCTTTGACCAAACCATTGTCTAAGGTTCTTCAACCAAGACGTGCGTCTTCGGTCAGGTCTTCTTTTACCTGCCAGCAACAGCAAGTTTTAGCTATTATTCAACCCTGCAGTATCTCTGGCTGTGGAAATTATATAATTTCCAATATAAATAAACCGACCACCTCTCTTCGCTACGCAAACACATAGGTATTAATTAATTGTAATAATTCACAGTATACACAACCCTAACAATAAAACGCAATACGAATTATCAATAAACCCGAACAGCGAATGCAAATTGAAATAGTATTTCATTGCAAACCAATGATTGAAAAGCAATCGATATTTTAATCGAGTGATTGAACGTTGGGAGGATGGGGTATGGGGTGATAGCGCGACCGGCGACAGGTATTAAAAGGAATGTCCGAATGTCCGGATAATGCGACGATGGAAATTCAATTAGCGTAATAACAGGAGGTCCATTAACGCAATCAAAGAAGGTTTTGCGCGTCAAAGGGTCTAGGGTTAATGAAGCGATAGTGTTGCTAATGCAATGATTGGTAATAGGGATTAAGGATAGAAGAGATTTTTAAACGTAATTTGTGTTATTGTTAACTTCTTAATGCGTCTTGTTGTTAATTTTAATATGCCATAATAAATTTCTAAATACTATTGATATCGTAAAGCAAACTTAATAAGCGTATTTTAATTAAAGCCTCACTTGGAACCAAATATATTGCTGGATTTAGGCGGGCCACAGGGACAAACAATCGTTTGATTTATCACTAGTCAAACATCCCTTTGATATATCTACGTTTTACAAAGTCGTGTTTGATTAAATATATCTCTTAATTCAATATAAAACTACATCTAGACTAGTGTTATTCAAAAAGGGTGGAAACAATAGGTGTTATAAAATTTTGTTTTAATATAAACTGTTAATTAAGCTTCTATTCAGCAAAATTAATCTAATTCCACTATTACTTACTCAAAGCACTCCAACAATATGTTATCGTGAGCGCAACCTAGAGCGCATCGTATCGTCGCTATTGATTTTTTTTGGTTTTAAATGAATGGTGTTCAAAATTATATTTTGTAAAAAATTGTCACTTAAAAAGTTTATGCATACAAACTTTTCTCCATTATTTTATCTCATTAATTTGTTTAAGCGTCATCTAGTGTCGTGTAAAAGTTCCCTAAATTATGCAAGCGTAAACCAGTTTTGCATAAAACTCAAATAACTGACAATAGAGGGCAGCTATCACAAACTGTTGAGAGCTTTGCTGTTCCATGATCTGTCAAACGTCAAATTGTCGCCGTCTCGGCGGATATCAAATGTCAAAATCGTGTCGCTGCCCGATGCTGTATACAAAACCGTAGCAGACCAAGCTAATTTATTATTTATTTCCTAGAAACTTTTCGATTAAACCTGCGTTCTGTTCTTCCTTTAGTGCTCAGCTATCTATAAGCTAATACTTCGTATGTAAGTGTTTTCATTTTGGTATTATGTTTCACTCAATATACTTCATGTAAACATCCCTTCCGGGTTAGCGAACATTTGAATGTTTTAAACTACGAAAGTGTAGTAATACACTTCGCTCTCGTTTAAAGCTCACAGCGTCTGATCGCGCCTGTAGCTTATTATCAAGATTTTAAACTTTGGAGATTGGTAGAAGGTGATTTTATGACTTTTTGTCTTTGTTTACAACTTGTATCCCGTTTTATGCCCGTCATCCACAATAAAAGTCATATTCATCAACTTACTAGGAGTGCTCTATTGCTTCGTTTTTGGGTCTATTGTCTAAAAGTATAGTTTTATGTTTTAACAAGGAGTGTGTGGAGTATATTAATATTTTTGTTAATTTCTTAATTCCAGGTGTTTTACTTTAAAAAAAATTACTAATTACTAATATTCAAACACTGCTGAATACATACATACAAAAAAAATTCTTTCTTGATTGCTTGGTTTTTATGTTAATGCACTGATTGTAGTTAAAGTTATTGAAATATTGATTTCATATTAATGATCCCTATCATAACTATGGCAAGGGTTTCGGGCATTGAGGAACCCTATTGTGTAACTCGAACAGCATCTGACACGGTATTCTTCACTCGGAGCTTGACAGTGCATTGCGCAGTTGTGCCGCACCAAAATATATTTGAAAAAAATATTAATAAAACATTTCATATTATTCAGTTATAATTCTATTAACCGGTGTAGTACCTACAGTGTATTGTTTGTGCATACAATGAGTATGGTAAGGGATCAAAATTTTTTGTTGCTTTGTTAATTTTTTCTTTATGTTTATTGAACTGTGAAGTTATGATTATGATTTGTTATGACAGGATCTTATTATGAATTATCCCTTGATGGATATATGGCTGGTATCTGTATTGATGATGTTGAAAAAATTTATTCGGCGGACCAAAATTGATTTTAAAACTGTGATTTATGAAATTTGATAGCTTTTGTAAGGAAGTCAGCGTAATGTTATAATGGAAGTTGTATTTTCTAGTCTGTTGTGTGCTAATAGAGTGTAATATGGGTTCAAATAGTTATCATTATTTGTATTCCATAAATTTTGCCCGACTCCGATCGATGATGTAGACTCTTGACTTTCAACCGCTGCCATAATTTTGTTGCCCTCTCTTTCATACATACTTAAATCAAATGTAATGCCATGATCTCTATTGTATACCATATTGATTTTTGGGTTGGATGTTTAGTTTTCCTCGGTCGGGGCATTATTGTTTGTGACTCGGGATTATAATATTTTTGCTTTGAATGCTTACTATGGGCACTGAGTATCAATATCAATAGCAAAATAAGTTAAATAGTTTTTATGGATGTATTTATGTTGATCAAATTTCATGAAAACGAAGTTTTATTAAACAGATGTTGTGTTACAGTTTTTATTATGAAAATTAAAAATAGAGATACAGATATTTTACTTGGTGGAATGGAAAGTGTAGCATTTATTTTGTTAAGACATTTTCGCAGCTAGTATTTTTTCTCTAAGGATAATAATATTGTGCTGGCATTTTTAAAACTTTGCACCGCGATGTACGCCATTTTTTTATAATATAATGGCCGCGCCTCAAGGCGAATCATGGATGTAGTCGTTCTAGCTTGGCGTTATATTTTATTGTAACAACTAAGACTTAAAAAAAACTCATAAAAACATTTACTGAAAATCAGGCACATTTTACGTTTTTAACTTTTATTTTATCGAATAGAAAGTAAGCATATTAGCTTTTTAAATTTAATACAATTTAGATAATATTAGAGCAAAATCTTTTAAATAAACGCGAAATAATAAAAATAACTTGCATATGGTTATAATCAATTGTATATTGATTTGCAGGTGGTATCTCGCCATGCAGAGTGCGGGTGGGAGCAGGGCCTGTGCGCCATGAGCCATACTCCTGGAGGCGGCCACCCGCAAGGTAACGTAATTTTTAATAGACAAGCATAGGTGGAACCATTAATTTTTGTGGGTCCGCAATCATATGGCTTATTAATGATTTTATTTAGTGGGTGGCGTGTTTTTGTATGTGTATATTTTCCTGAAAAGACGTTAAGCTTTAAGGGGTTACTTACAAAAATGTAACATATCAAGTGAATTTTTCTATATATCTATGTTCGTAATTAGTATTTGCTGTGGTGACGGAAAATATAGTGCCGAAAACCTGCATGGCTTAGACCCAAAAATCGATGCTTGAGCACAAAACTCGCCTAAATGAAAATGATAACGTCTTATTTAATTCAACAAACTTGTGTCTATTTTCAGGTTGGGAGCACAAGCTTGCAGACCGGTCGTCGCTGCCGCCAGCACCGGGGGAGGAGAAAACTAAATCTCAGTCCAAACATGTGTTCACACAGCCCCATATCCCTAAGTGAGTAAATTGTTATAAAATATTATTTTTTTCGTGTCAATCAATCATTTATTTGCACATTAATTATAAACAAAAAGCTTTTATCCAGCTTCAATTCAATTATTTAAATAGTTTTACCTACATCAAAGATATTGTTATGTTCTTGTCATACATTAAACCTAAAGTAATTTATTTCACGTAGTTTGAGAACATCCTAAGAATTTCACTGGTTTTGCATAAACTGTCACCTCAATGTTAGACGAAGAACGCCCGTTCGCATATGCCACAGTTAATTTTATATACTATTCCCTACTCCGACTCAACCATCCCACTTTGAACGGATGTTCTACGTAAATTCGTAGACAACAGAATGAGTTAAATTAGCAATTATGGCAATGTTAAGATTCTTAAGAATTTATTTCATTAAAAATATATAGAATTTAATATTAAAAGCTAACACAGTCGTTCCTAACATCCCACTTTTAGGTTTTTTTAGGAATAGATTTCATCTTTTATCATCTGGCGTCGTCACATTGATACATTATATCGTAATGTTGTAGAACGAGCGCTATGTGGTGGCGCGAAGAGACGGAAGGTTCGTCGGGCAGCAGCGCACGCTCACCCGCCTCACCTCCCTATGTACGTTGGGCTAGAGCCCTGCATTTCCTGCTCGAGGTATGTACAACAATATATAACAAGAGATAAAACTGAATATATGTGATTTGAAATTGTAACGAAATTGATTTTGATTGAATTGTATAGGATGCAGAGGGCGTGCGTCTGTTCCGTAAGTTCGTGTGCGGAGCCGGCGGATTGCACGTCGATCGGCTTAATTTCTACTTCGCCGTACACGGCTTGCGACAGGAGACCGAACCATCCAAGATCCGGCAAGTCGTGTCGGCTATATACAAGTGAGTATTTTAAGACTATTTTTAACGCGCATTACCCTATTAACTTTATTTCTAAACTATTACTCATATCGGCCAATAGTTAACATTCGCAGGATCTCTTCAGACGGTGATTAATTACATTTTTACCTGTATATATATATCGTCATGATCGTAGAATAATGTCGGATTTGAAAAAAATCAAAAATCCACTTTTATCATATTTGGATACTTTATTGATTAAATATTACGGCTACATCAAAAAAAGGGAGCGTGTACTTATGTACGCGCGTAAGAAGTTCTACTTCTTTGGCATTATTAAAAATAGTTTGGCTTTGTTCCACCTCCAGTTTTTGATGTTTCACAGCGATAAGATGACAACTCTTTTTTTGTATTCAATTTAGTGCACTTACACTGATTCATCAATTGTTTTTTGTCTCTTGTCCTTATATTTGCTAGAGAAAAATTACATGTTTTGATTAAACAATGTGGTAATTTTTTTAATCAAAACATTACTCGATAATAATAATACAAACTGATAGTTAACCTCAATTGTAATGAAGCACTTAGGAAGGTTGATGAGCACAGTTTTTTCACAAATATTAATTAGTATTGGTTTAAATATTCAATTTAAATCACTTCTGATTATATATAATTCAAAAAGCATTGCTAAATTTCTTTGAAAAAATAATTAAAACTCCTTTATTTGTTTAAAAGGTAAATGACAAATGTCATTATGGTCATTCAAAATTCTTGGCATACGAACTTCACGCATATTCTATTTCTTTTTACTTGTAGATTGTCTTATTCCTATCTCGCTCGCGCACGCTATAATCACACTCCTAATTTTGTGTCACGGTGCGCGCGCATCGTAAAATTTCACTCTCATCAATTTTTCATAACGCGCCTAAAGAAGTATAACTTCAAAAAATCCATGTGTTTTGTTAATTTCAAATGAATAACATACAGTCGGGAAAGTCACGGATTTGATAGATGCTCATAGAAGCATTTTTCTAGAAAACTGTGTAATTTAATATTATTATTTTTATTTTGTTTTAAAACAAACTCTTTTGTTTGCTTGTATGCCAATTTTCATAATAACAGAATATGAATTAAAAAAGTGATGACAAATAAACTAACATAAATGTAAAGTTTACTATATGTCAAATCCGTCACTATTCTACGACTATGACGATATGTACCCCAAATAACATATTTTTATGGGAGTTGTCTGTTAATGTTAACTTTTTTCATATTTCTTGATATTTAAAATATGAAACTGTGCCGCGGTTTTGTTGACAGCTTTAAAATGAATCAAGTGAATAATATATTTTAATGTGTATTATTTAAATAAAACCTTATTATAAAACTTCTAAATAGATTCCTGCGGAAGTCTCAGCTAACGATGCCGGAAGCGCTGAAGTCGCAGGTGAAGCAGGCGCTCAAAGATGGCGCATCCATCGAGAAGACTATCTTCGATGAAATGGAGCAAGAGGTATACCACACATGCTTCTTTATACACTGTTTGTGCCTTTGCAAATAAAAATAAATGTCATGATATGCAAAAACCTTTTCCCCATTCAAGTATCCTATAGTAGATTTCCTGATAACTAGAATACGTTGTTCTTCGATAATATGACCACTTATTTTATTAAATATTAATAAATATAAATGTTAGTAATTTAAAAAATAGTCCGCATCCATCCTTTTCATTAATCATGAAATTTTTATTTAACTTTATAAAGTGTTAACCAAGTTTAAAGTTTTCATTTAGGAAGAAGTTCACCAGAATAAAGAAATAAAAAATATTGAATGTTGTGTCAGGTGACGCGCGCCATAACTGAAACGACGTACCAATCGTTCCTCCGTTCGGAGGCTTACGTCTCGTACGTGAGTGCGGCCACGCAGCCTCTTTCTTCGCCTGATGCTTCGCCACCTCAACATAGAGATGTAACTATGCTCTGATTATTGTATTTATAACGTATTTCTTTCTTTTCTACAACATTTCTTACTTTGTGTTTCTGATTAATAGTGATAGTGCCACCTATGCCTACCCGTGTGATTGTTGATCTAAATTTCTAGTAGTTGAACGCAGAGTTGATAAATTCATTCTGTATATTTATAGTTAAGTTTATATCAATACATAAACGCACTATAATGTATGATAATAGATCAAGGCATTGATGCAATTTTTTCTCTAGAATATTTCATTATAATATAATGAAACCAAAACACAATCAAATTTTTTTATTATATCAATTTTTTTGTAAGTACCTACTGTATATTCGAATTAAAAACCCCAATACAAGAGCAAAGCAAATAAGAAATCTTTTTACAGATGTCAGTATGCGGCCTGGCAACATTGCACGAAGGGCAGGAGTTGTCAGGGGCGAGTGCGAACACGAGCTCGAGTACGAGCGCACGTCTCACTCACGACGCACTGCTCGCGACTCAGTCGCGGAGACTCCACTCGGACGTCGCACCGTCAGTATACAGCCCTTCATGCTCCTTAGCTAATATTCGCATGCCTTCGCATTCTATTGTGCTTGACGATATTTTTTGACAGAATTGGAAAAAAATGTTTTTTAGATAAATTAAATTAATCGATAATTAAAAAAAAAGACAAAAAAACAATATTTGTTACATTTTATTCAGCTTTTGACAGCGTTGAACAGTTTTTATTTTATTTTAAGATGTACAATATAATCAATAGAAATTATTTACTTTTAATCAGGTAAATTTAAGCTATTATGTTTTGGCAAAAGAAAATTCTTTTTCGATCATACATTCTTGAAATAGAAAATTATTTGTATCCTCAAGCACAATTTAGCAAGGAGATCCTGATCTTGTTATAGATCAACTGTAATACAAGAATAATTGTTGTACATTGAGAGTTTTTGAAAATTTACTATTTTTTAGATATTTTATTCGCTTGGCGTAGCGTCAATACATATTAGGTCTAGATATATTTTTGTTTAGTTTCCAAATTTTTATCCACATTGACGTGTACTTTAGCTGAACGCTATCGTGTGAATTTTTGTTGAGAGAAAACACTAAAAATCTTGCAAATCCTGCCAGTGTTAAAATTAAATAATAAAAGTTTGAAGTTAAAGTCGGCTTTGGTGCTTAGCGCTAAGTTTCGATTCTTAGGGTAAGATCACTTCCGTAAGTCAAAATTCAACACGTTTTCGACATATGAAAGTTAAACTTAGCACGTTGTGGTCTGAGTCATACCCTCAAATTTGTTTTTGCTTCTAAAGTAATATTCGTTTTAGTTGAATAATTTTAGTGTCTTCTCGAAATAAGACCCCCGTCCTTTTTAATTTTACAGCCAGCATGTAGTTAATGCTAATTACTTTATTTTCTCCCAGCAGCTTGATTGATTTTGTATGTTTTGCCCCCATGTTTGTCCCCGCTGCATGTTTGCTGTCCCGACGACGCTGTTACATTCACTGCATTACTGCTGTTACCGCCCAATCCTCATCATCCTTTAATAAACTGTTCTTTGAACACATAAAAATAAAATTCAAAACATATTCCATATGTTTCCTAAACACATTTTTCACTAACACTACGTTTTATCTTTTAAAATTTGTCTTACATTTTTCCCGTTAATATTTTTACTTGTATGTATTACTCCAATTTGTTATCCCCTTTCCCTACCTTTTGGCACATATCGGTAACAGTCACCGTCACAAGCGGTCAGTGTACAGCGCTCACGTGTCGTATGCGGGTTATACGCCGACGTCGCGTCAGGACTCAGAACGGGGCAGCCTTAGCAGCGGACGTACCGATAGTGATGCTGTCTCGCTTTCCGGCAGTAGCGTGTAAGTAGGATAGATAATGTACATTTCCAGTGAGGTCGCTGCACAAGGATCCTGAAGTTGGAGGAACACGTTTTGCCAAAACAGTGGGGTTTAAAATATGATGATAATTAGTCTGAAAAATATGTAAAAACTTACGTAAATAACTCTAAAGTATACTTATTTATGTGTTTATAATGCTTTACAATATGAAAGACACAGAGAATAATATTATAATAAACACAGAACATTACGAAGAAAAAACACTGTCCATAAAATAAAAAATCAATTACGTTATAATTAAATTATATTTATTTTTATAATTAATGTGGGAGAGTGTACCTTGAAACTACAACTTTATTTCATGTTAATAATAAAGTAATTTATAATTTATTTTATAAACGGTTGTACTTAACACACTAAAACATCTACCTTCTCATTATATTTTCTCTTTTATCGAACTAAAAAAATGTTATACGTAATCAAAAATCAACGTAGGTAACGTAGACAAGTTCGACTCTACGGATCGTTCTAAACTAAGGTAAGATATATAGCAGTTTAGTTTTATTAGTAGGCTGTACCCCTTGCTTTTTTCACTAAATTTTCATTAGCACCACATCAAAATACATGTGTTTCTTTTGTTTGGTAACTTTATTTTTAATATATTATAAATAAGACGATGTATACGAAGATTTCCTTTTGATTTCTATAAATAAAAATACGACATTTACAGGGATGGTATGTCAGTGCGCGGCCCCAGAGATAGCCGGGAGTCGCGGCATCGGCAGCGCTTGTACGGAATGGACAGACAGGCCGTCATCAATAAGGAGCAGGATACTGCAATGGTGAATTTTTAACTTACATTCTTCATACAACGTAACTCCTACTTATCCTTCAACAAGTCTTCATTTCAGTCTCATAGAGTATCTACCTACATCAGGTCAAAGATTCCAGCACTGTTAAGTTCGGAGGCGGTTGTTATGGATATGTTCAGATATATTTTAAATGAAACACTTTGTTTGAAGCTGGGTGTCATCTGGCTTTAAAACATGAGCTTATAAACTAAGATAAAATTAAGGGTTGCGACGCTGAATTAACAAAAAACTAACTTGACTTATTGAAGAGTTCGTAAATCTAAGTGACACTTATGTATTGGACGTTATCGGAAACGAGAATGTTAAATTACAATTCACGAGTGCGGTCAAATCTAAAGGGCTCATTTTGGCTTCAAGTGTGCGATGATTGCTTACATATTGTTAACACTTCTAATTATTAGCTAAAAGCCATTAAGTTGTGGAATACGCTGCCTGACTCCGTACGATTGGCTACCTCTCTGTCATCTTTTAAAACTCTTCTGTATAATAATTTCTTAACCTTATCCTATCCTGATCAATCGTGACTTGTATAATTCTTATGTTTCCTTTTACATCACTATTCGCTGTTCATGTAGTTGTATGAATAGCTTTTAAGTTTTTAGTCTGTTATTATTATTTTTTTGTATTACTTTAGATTAAGGTACTATATACATATAATTTTTTTTTTAATATAACATTTAGTTCTGCACTTCTCGCACGCTTCTTTTTTTTAGTTTTTCTCTTTAACTAGGGTTGCCTGGAAGAGATCGCTTATTAGCGATAAGGCCGCCCGTTGCATCCCTTATAATTTTTATGTATTGTTTCTTTTTTTTTTTAGCAACGAAGTGTAAATAATTAAAATAAAATATATATATATGTAACTTAACTAATGTTAGGTTACATAACTCCTGTAATGTAACAACTCCAACAATATACAACTCATTCATTCCTATGTCATCATAGTTTAACTGTGTTAAGTTCTATATGTACCTTCTTATAGTGCAATCTCCTTGCGAAGGTTGGCTATCATTATGGCTAGTCTAATTTTTGATGCCGCGCTTCTAAACAATGACTTGGTGCTTCAACCAAATCATTGTCTTAGGTTTTTCAACCAAGACGTGCGTCTGTGGCCAGGTCGCCTTCTACCTTGCCTTGTATGATTAGTTGAAGGAGTTTGCTTTTTTTGTGGAGTTACATAAAACGTGTCCGAAATACTCAAGTTTCCTTTTCTTAACCGTCATAAGCACTTCTTTGTTCTTCTGTATTCTGTCCAGCACGGTGGTATTTCGTATGCGGTCTGTCCAAGATATTTTAAGCATACGTCGATAAACCCAGATCTCAAACGCTTCCAGTCATATATGTTTAGTATTATGTATTATGTGTATTATTATTATATTATTACTTAAAACATTATATTATAAGTTTCTTTTTTGTTTTTGTTTTTTTTAAATCCATACAATCAAAAACATCTAATTTGTGAAAACTGCTACTAATGGCAACAGATTTCATTGTTACATTTGTTCTTATTAATTTATTGTGTGTTTTTATATAAACAAGTGTAAAATTGAGTGATTTATAATTATTTTTGGTTCGTCCAGATGATCCCCCGTACCCAACGAGTCCAGTCTGAACAATTACGAGTTCTCCCGCCGGCTGAATTTGCTCCGCTTCTGATTGAGAAATTAGAAAGAGTGAGAAGAGATCGAGAAAACAAGGAGAGACTGGAACGGAGATTAGCTGAGGTAATATGATTTTTTTATTAGAGTTTAGTTCTAAATTGAGCGAAAATATCGTTAACCTGACCCTTAAATAGTGAGTTTTATCTCCCCAATTTTGTATTTCAATACTGTTAAATAAAAAAAAAGGGAAATATTTAAAATACCAGTCGTAAATATGTTTATCTCTAATAACATTATTCACAAGACTAACAAAAATAAGGAGTAAATATCTCAATTATTTCAGACTACTTTTTATAGATTTTTAACGTATTTCTGTATGATCAGGGTGAGGGTGAAGAGACCTCATCTCAAGTGCTTCCACCACAGTTAGTTGCTGCTGCCATTCGGGAGAAGCTTCAGCCAGATGATGACAACGATCAGGATATTCTTGGTAAGTATAATACTTATTATCGTTATTTGTTTGTCCAAAATGTTAACGGAAAACAAAAGTCAACTTATATAGTCCAAGTCTCATCTAATTCGGTTTAGTCGTTTTTGAGATGTGTAATTCTGGTTTCCATGTTTATTCGATAAAAAACTTTAAAACACTCTGGTGTGGCAATTGTAGATCAGCACGTATCCCGAGTATGGTCCGAGCGCACTCCGGGTGGATCTCCTCCTGGTGGAAGACGAGCGAGGAGACATAATCGACGAGCTCCTTCCTGTCTCTCTGCTGACTCGGGCCATTATGATGAACCGCCGCATCTTGCTACACGCAGGTCAGTTGTAATTTATTTGAGCTTTTACATAATTGAAAAACAAATAGGTGCCAGGTTTGTTAGATATTCAGTATTGTTATAGATTATATTAGTTTACATTCATAATGAAAAAAATCATAAAGTAAAATTCCATTTTGGCCTCCTCCAGAACTTTTCATTGGGATCTTTTTGGCTTCTATAGCCAAAAATATTTAAATTAATTACCTATTAAATCTAAGAACCGCCTATTCGACTAGCATTTACAAATAAGTCTCATTCACTCAAGGAAATTGTTGATTTTCGTTACTATCGGACCTTGCTCGAATATTTCACAGGAATTCGGGTATGTCATTATTGATATCGGATAAATGAGTTGAATTTTTCTGGATTTAGGGTAGTTTCGTATTGAAGTCAAGATTTGTATAAATTAGGTTTCCTTAAAAAATGTGAAGAAACTGACTGTAGCTAGGAAAAGAAATAAGAAGACATATCATCGTATAAACAAAATTTTAAAAAATAATCATGTGGCACTCGGGGATTGCCGCGGTAAAGCTATTGCATAGCATTTTTTATCAACTTATACAATTATAATTATTTATTTTTTATTTGATATTAATTCAATCTACCAGACTCAGATTAACACGACTATATATTCTGTCTCACTCTAACGCGTACCTGCCACTCTTACGCTACGTCGCCGATCTCGTCAGAGAGATGTGAGACGCAGTATGCGTTCTGTCCCGCTCTAACGCGTGTTGGCTGCACCTATTATTACATCATCGTGGGTTAAGTTTTTATTTTCGTTACAGAATTTCTTGATTCGGTCGCCGCGCTCAAAATTCCCCCGATAAAATCTATTCAATAGCTTAAAAACCCTTTCCATGACAGAAAATAGAGGAACACAAAAACTTCAGTGCGGTTGGTGGGGTGTCTCTTAATGCCCTAATAATGCCTTTACCGATTCGCGGATAAGTTTTTATGATTCTTATTTAAGGATATAAAGTAATAATAATGACGACAATGCAGAATCTCAGTTTAACATTTAACACAATAAATCTTTGTATAAAAAATTATATTCATGTAATAATGAATCGATTTGAGATCCATTGTGTCGTTGTGACGGCAAATATTTTTTTTTAAGGTTTATTAACAACTTTTCGTTTTTAACTGGCAAATTGTCCGGAGTTTATATTTATTCATTAAAAGCTGCAACAGATGAAGTAGTATCACAGACAGTAAATATAATTTAAATATATTCCAGATCATTCTCGAAGAAAACGGTGACAGAGCTGACAGACAGTGGCGTGTCGGTGGTAAGCGAGGGTGGCGTGAGTGGGCTAAGTGCTGCCAGTGAGCCCCGGATCCTTCTCTGGATCGCTGAAGGGGAAAGGGGAGAAAGGAGGGCAACTTCGGCTGATAGACATCGCCGGCAAACACGGTAAGTTTTATAAAATAAATCTTATGTGTTTATTATATATATATTTATATTATTATATTTTATTATTCGCATGTATTGAATTTATTTATTTAAGAATATTGTACTAGAATAAGTGTCGCCACCGACTTAATTTTTTTTTACACATGGATTTTTTCTTTAAAACGGCTACTTAAATTATTTTTCGATATCTCTACCATTCTGTTCTGAAAGAAGAGACTTTTTATGTGTCACGGACCTAATCCATTACGTGACAAAAAATACATATTATATTTGAAATATCTCCATAGCTGTTGGTAAAGGTTCTCACAAATACTAAGCTAATGAATGCTATACCCGCAGCGGCGGCGGCAGCAAGAGCAGCAGCACCAGCGGTAGCGTGGAGCAGACCGTGGTAGTGGCCCACTTCTTGGACGAGAGCGTGCCTTACCGCTTCAAAGTGCCCGCTTGCCCTCTCACACTCAAGACCTTCAAGGAGTATCTGCCGCGAAAGGGGAATTACAGGTACCTCACTCCTACCATTATTTTTACTTATTTTTTTTTTAATATAAAAGAGCAGTGTTGGCCTATTGGCTTCAGCGTGCGAATCTCATACCTGAGGTCGTAGGTTCGACCCCGGCTGTGCACCAATGGACTTTCTTTCTATGTGCGCATTTAACTTTCGCTCGAACGGTGAAGGAAAACATCGTGAGGAAACCGACATGTCTTAGAACCAAAAATTCGTGTGTCAGGCACAGGAGGCTGATCACCTACTTGCCTATTAGATTTAAAAATGACTATGAAACAAATTCAGAAATCTGAGGCCAAGACCTAAAGAGGTTGTAGCGATTTATGACTATTAACAAGGTACATACTTCTCCCTCAAAGTCTGCTGGACGCACCCACTAAAACGGATGCCCATGGGCTGCGACGATTACCCTTTTTGGGCGTCCCGTACACTCGTTTGAAAAAAATTACTTATTTTTTATTATAATTAATCAAATCATGCCAAGTTTGTCAAAAATATTACTGACGCACAAAACCGTGAGACTGTTAATTATTCTTCACATCAATATAATATGTTATTTCTATTCCATTTAAGATTAAAATTGCTGACAATTTGTCAAAATATATTTTTACAATATGGTAAAAAAAATGTATTTTGTACATTTAGCACTATTTTTATATTTATTTAATTTCGCTTGTCATGTCCACATATGAAAGGAGCGAAAGCATTTTATAATTTAATTGTATTATTTTTATAACATCTTCAATTATATTATTACAAAGCAATTAGTGGACCCCACAGACGTTGTCCTGCATGATATTTAAAGCGATTAGGATATTAAGCAAAGTATGAAAGTACCGACTGCAGTGCCATCTGCCGGGCTGATTTGTGAATCTAAACCATTCCCAGATCACCTTGAACACACACAAAAAATTTCATCAAAATCGGTCCAGTCGCTGGAGAGAAGTTCAGTGACATACACACTCACAGAAGAATTATATATATAAAGATAATAGGTCATGAGTACATATCTCGTTTCGATATATTCTTAAAAAGAAGAAAGGCACACAGTCAGTCTCAAGGTCAGTCGTTAGGATTTGTAGAAATTGTATTAGTTTGCGAACACAGAGAGGACAAGACACTATAAAATTATAAATTGAGGACGTAACTATTAACAAATATAATTAGCAAAAATGCGTCTAACACAATCCGAGTGAAACAAAGCAGTAAGTCAATCAAAAAATGTGACGATCGGCCGAAATAAAATATTTTAGATTGCTCATCAAAATTTATAAAACTAAAATTATGTATTTCAAACAATTAGAATAAACAATCCTTATTTGGTTCAAATAAAAATCTTATCAAAATAATATTCTCATTCATTCTTACTAATAAAGATTTACGCACATTGTATAAGCCTCTTATAAGAAAAATGGTACTAATAATTCCTGAATAGGCAAAGTCTGATGTATACGGCTGTTATAACAAGTGTTTTGTTTGTAGGAAGACTTGGTAAATGCTTTAACAGCGCAGAGGCCTAGTTTAACGGGTGTATAAGATAAAAATGTCGTCATTTGATCTGGTTTTAACCAGGGTAACAAGCAATAAGGGTCGAATAATTATCCAATTAATCCAATAATTATTGATCAAAGATGTGTTTATGCCCAGTACAAGCTCTATTCACTGGATAACTATAACCTTGTTATAACGCATGTTTTCATTAGTAAGACTGATTATGTATAACATATAAACTATTTCCAGATATTTCTTCAAGACGGAGTGTGCGGATCTAGACAACACAGTGATTCAGGAAGAAGTCAGTTGTGACAATGAGACGCTGCCCATGTTCGAGGGGAAGGTCATGGCCCGCGTCAAAGCTATTGAGTAACTTCAGGAATATTGATAATGTGTTGAATTATTTGCTACGTTAAATGCTTTTATGACTTCTGTATTGGATTTTGGTTCTTTACAACAAAAACGTTCTCTCCAATGAAGCTGAAACTTAGATGTATATTTAATTTTTTTATAAGCCATCTGCCGGAATATGTTTCGTCGGGAATCTATCCCAGTACCTCTGCGATTCATTAACTAATATATCGTAGGACTTTGCTGGTTATTGTGGGTCAGATATATTTACACCGTGCAAACTTAATTAGCCTCAAAAATTAACGCAAATAGGTCCTTAACTATTTATGATAAGTTTTGAGATGGTTCACTTTGACGAGGTCACGTAACCCAATATTTTGCTTTCTGAGATAAATAGCTTGATTCTTTTTTTACTTTATATCTATTTGTCTTTGATCAGCAAAATTGGTAGCCCCAAGCACCTAACATTAATCCAGAAATGAAATAAAAATTAATATTAATAATTAAAAAACCTTTATTGTGACAGTAGCAAATTAAAAAATCTATAAATTTTTATAGACTGTTCTAAAAGAGCATAAAATATTCGTTAATCTTTATACGGAGCGAATAGGGCTTCGATAAATAACGTGGATATATCTGTAACCATGGTTACGATATTTTCATATAAGAGAATGATAACTATAGTCCACGCCTTTAAGATGTCCATATAAAACGTGTCAACATCGATAACCTTAAAACCTGATTTGAAAAGGATAGATGGGCTTCAATCACAACATATATATTATGTATAGAGTTGTGCGTCTGTAGTGTAAATGTGTCCACTACATATTCGTCGTATTGCCTGTTCGATTTCTATAAAAAAATATTTATTAGAAAATCAATTTGACAATATTGCCAGACAATGCGACGTTCTGTAAATAATTAGCTGTATCAGTATAATCTATTGGATGTATTAGTGAAACAGCCCAGTAAAAAATTTCGTCTACCCTCAAAGTACCAGTTATTTTTTTATAAAATTTTTGCGTACGCCCAGTTCAGAGACATGAATTATTTTTGAAGTCGCGTCCTCGATTTACGCTTACTTTATTTTTATATAAAATTTGTTTTAATTAGTTGTTAGCGAATGACTGCTTAGTTGGTACGCGCCGTAATAGCGTTATGTTCTATTTGTTTTAGCGGGCGTTAGATTAGCTGTGGGAATTATTATTAAAAACTTTTAAATGCCGGTACCGAATGCCCAATATGTGGATCGTTGTAAGAGATAAAATCTTTGTAACAATTGTTTAATTTTCATATTAAAAAATATTACAATTGACCTGTGACCTAGGACAAGTAATTGTCATGTCTTAATCAAGTTAAGTTTTTTTAGTACATTGTTAAGTGGACAGTTTTCCGTTCTGCAGCTGTGAATAGTACCTACATATGTATATACATAGTTGTAAGATACATTATGTTTGCCGACGAATACTGCGCTCGCGCTATTTTGATACTATTTAGATAATTTCCACTCCCACAATGGTCTTTGATTTATAGTTTTAGCGCCAGCGTCGTATTCGCTTATACTTATTTTATCGAATATCAGACTGAATTTTGTATAATTTCAAAGTAATTCGAACCAACTCCATAAAGGAGGAAATAACTCAATTAAAGATTTACTTCCTAAACACTAGTCCTTGGCGTGCGTTCTGTCGACTGTATGGCCCACTTAAACCCCGTAAATGTCTTTAAATCTAGAGGATTCAAATTGGAATTTAGCTATCGTCAGTTTGGATAGTCTGCCTTTGGTCCTACACTACTATTTGCATTAAAATATATGAGACTACCCGCGTTTTAATATTTTCGTGTATGTTGTCTAATCTTCTTTTGTAGTACGCGGGTTCCTTTAAGTTCGTTCGTCATTTTTTTAACAGCCCATGACGAGGCCATAGCGGGGCGACGGGACGCCGCAGTCCAATAGTACTTAGCAGCGTAAGAATAAGATGTAAGATAGCTCGAGTCCGGTCCACTGTAAGATAGAGGAGTGCACCATCACTGCACAATATTGAGAATAGGGTGCGTAAAAATGTGCCTTCAATGTTAATAAAATTTTTCATAGTTGATGCTTCTAACTAGGCTTAAGGTTGTAAATATAGAGTAGCGCTAACGAACTCTTTATTATTATTTAATTATATTTTAATTTATTGCCTAAGTCGTGCGCGTCACGGATGCGCGTTTTTTTTTATATTTCTCCTCCGATTCCGATGTCTTCCTTGCCTCTCTTAGCTTAAATCTTTTCTATCATAGAGAAATGTGTAGCTTTTTATAATTTAACAGATTTATAGTCCGTTTCTCGCGCTGTTTGAACGACGCTTGTGAGTCGGAGTACCTCAAGCGAATATCTTCAAGTATTTGTTGTTCCATTAAATTTCTCGAATGCATCGAAATGGTAATGAATAACACCATCACAATATTTGTGACGTAAACTCCCAGTCTGTCGCGTTTTTTTAAATTTTGAATTGTATTTTGTCTTTCTGGTGATATTCGCTTGTAAATTCGATGCGGCGTTACGAGGTACACGAGTATGTATAAATAGACGGTTATACCAGTTTAAGGCACTCAGTTAGCTGGATGTATGTAAGATACTCGAGCGCTCGGAAAATAATAAAATAGCTTGTTAATTTGTAAAATGTTCCATTTAATGAAGAATGGTGTTAATTATGGTACATAGGTACGAATAATTCTCGGGCAGTTGTATTGCGAGAATTTCACTAATCGGACTGTATTATTTTTTTAACTAGCACATGTAACTATTAAAAATTAAAACTGGAACTGTGCCATACTCCTTGTTTTATTGATTTTCTATCCCTTAATTTATATGAATTAAACATAAAACAACGCAAACGGTGACATCGAGTTGGATAGGCCTTGTCGGACAATCCTGTACTAGAAAAGGGACAAGCTAAAAGTAGGTACCCATAACCGATGAGCGTGGTGATTGCATGAAAGTGAATGAAGCGAGAGAGGTATGTCAGGACCGTAGCTGGTGGAGATCCGTGACCTCTGCCTAACCCTTCGGGAAAAAGGCGTGATAATATAAATAAAGATAAAACTTCGCGTCTGTTTCACTGATCATTTATTTTTTACACAGGAACAAGACTAATAGAATTGTCATGACCTTTTCTTGCGTTTGTCCAGTTTTTTGACATACGGGAGTCGTATTTATAGCCGAGTCTGGACTCCTGTCAATGACCTGTTTTCCGCAGGCAACAATAATAACAAAACAGCCCCTAAATAAACTCTTGAAAAAAAAAACTAAGGTCGTTTCAGTTAATTAAAAGATATTTAATTGTCTGACGTGGTCTGTATATTATACTTCTTACTACTTTAATTCCATTCCATTTTTATGGACGACAATGCTCGCTCGTACCGTTTTGGCGACGTGGAAGCGTACATGCAAAAAGTTGGGATCCATCGTTTAGTGGCCAGCCACCAACTTCAAACCAATCGCGCAAGTCTGGGATGTTCTTAAGAGACGAGTAAGATCAGTGCAACCTGCTCCACGAAACATCAGGGAGCTAAAAAAGCCATTAAAGAAGTGTGGGAAGGTACCTCTTCCTCAAAACGTTTTTAAAACTATGCCCAGAAGGCATTTTGGCAAGAGGACGTCATTTCGTTATTAGGTTTTTATATATTTAACTTTATTTAATTTAAAAAAGTAAAAAACCATTTCTTATTCTTTGGCCACAAAAAATTTCCAGAAATCACTTCACGCGTATTAATTTTACACGATAAGTATACAGACTACGTCAGACAATGAATTAAATTTAATTAACTGAAATTACCTTAGAACGTGTATTTCTTTAGGTGCCCGTTTTATTTGCAAAAAAGTTTATATGAATTTAAATTGAAGTACGAATTCCCTTTGAACTTTACGCTTTTACTAATCACGCTGTTAGCTACGATGTTCGAAGATTCATACTGTCTCTGGGTATTTGCAGATTCACAAGTGGGAAAGCCAGTGCATTTGACTAAAAAAGTTACAAATAATACAACACGTTATTTTCATCCCTTTTATTTCTGTAATCAAAAGATACAAGACGAACCCGACAACGCTGTCGTCTTTACAAACAAACAAAGAAAAACACAAATAACATAGAATTCGATACAAACCCAATACATTTTGGGTACTACATTGAACTATGTCTAGAATACATTAACGAAAATCTTAACTATTACTGTGCCTACTTCAAATGATTGTAAAAAATGTAACTAATTAAGAAAAAAAACCAGTTACTCCCGAAAAACAAAACTATACAAGACAAACCTGTAGAAATAGCACATAAAATAAAATAAAAACTTAACTTATTATATTTGTATGTCAAATAAAAATTATTAAATTTTTATTGAGCAGGTACAATAAAGCCGGCATCCGGCGACAGAACTACATCTAATAAAATGACTAAACGGTATGACTACGAACTTAAAGTATATAATAAATAAAATTGTAAGAACTTGAGGTACGTCCTATAAGGAACTTATTTTTAAAACGATAACAAACTTACATTCTTTATTGAACAAAAAATATATATTAAATTTTTTTGTGTAAGAAAAGCGCGATATTTTTTTATTTGAAACTGTCTGGCTTTGTTGTCCTTGACATGTCAAAGGAATATTGAAATAGTGTAGGATGAACTAAACCAAAATAGTAGAGCATTTTATACATATTTATTTTAAAATAAGATTTAATTGCTACTTCTATAGCTCCCCAAACTTTTAACCATCCGTTTATATTAGAATGAATCTAAATAGGTATGTTAGTTTTATATTTACCAATAAAAGAAAAGTAGCAGAATCTGAAATCAGCTTAGAGATTTGACAAGTCAAGGAATGAAGTTTTTAGTATAAGTCATACAGCACATTCAAAATGTTTTCTCAATTATAAAATACTATCCTAAGGGTCTGTTTCACAATGTACAGATAGGTTCCAAATAAGCTATTTACTACTTATTGGTATGATAAACACTATTGTTACGTTTCACGACT